AGTTGTAGATAATTAAATGCTACAGGTGAACCACTAAGTGAATGGCATCCTCACAAAGACAGTCAAGTAGATCATTACTCTGAGGTACAACAGCCTAACTATTAATGAAAAGCTGAAATTAGAGAAACTCATCCAAACATCTAGTGGGGCTCTTCCTGGGGTCAAGTCCCTGTGCTTAGTAAACTCACACCAGAAATCCTTTTACTACATTGCATGGACTTTAATATAAGCAAATTACACAGAATCAGATGTGCCTAAAGGAGGGTTATTGTTTTTATTATGTGCCGTTGAGTCAGTTCTGACTCATAGCAACCCTGTAATGAGTATTCACAGAGCGGCTGGTGGGTTTGAACCACCAACCTTGTGATTAGCAGTCCAGTGCTGATCCTACAGCTTCATAACAGGACTCCCTAATGGAAGGGGGCATGTAGAAATACTACCTCTGAGATCATGAGACTTTCCTATTAAAAGTTTACTGCAAATTAAAGAACTTCCCATAAATTACATCTCAATCTAGAGTTAGGGCAATTGTCTCTAAGGGAAGGTTGAGAGTGTTCCTCTTTCTCATTGACCCTCTACTTTAATAAGCATGATATCCTTCTCCAGGGGCTGGCACCTCCTGATAATATGTCCAGCGGTGCCTCAGAAGAAAGGCCTGGCAATCTTCAGTCAACTGGAAATATTATGGAATATTCTTCTACTCTGAAACACATGTTGTTGTTGTCAGGTGCCATCGAGTCGGAACCAACTCATAGTGACACCATGCACAGCAGAACGAAACAATGTCTGATCCTGGGCCAACCTCACTACCGCCGCCACACTTGATGCCATCAATGAAGCCACCTGGCCAATCCATCTCGTTGAGGGTCTTCCTCTTTTTCTCTGACCCTCCATCTTACCCAGCATGACATCCTTCTCCAGCGACTGTTCCCTCCTGACAATATGAAGCACATGAGGCTGCCATAAATTGGAAGTGACTCAATAACAACTTTTTTTTAATGTGAAAGGATGTAATTAACTGATCTTTAATATTCCTTTCAGTTCTATAATTCTGTGATTTCCTTAAATTCATTTATAATGAAACTTAAAAAGTTAATCAATTTCACGATAAACACTGGACTGCAAACCACAAGTCTATGGCTGGAGCTCACCAGCTGCTCCTAGGGAGAAAGATGAGACTTTTTGCTTTCACGAAGATTTAATGCTTTGGAAACACTGTACAAGGTCACTATAAGTCAGAACTGACTTGACCATCCTTAATGACAACAATCTGTGAAACATAGTTGTAGAGTAGTTGAAAAGAACAAGAAATATTTTTTAAAACTATCTTAAGAAGGAGAAATAATAATCAGAGAAACCTAACCCAGAGTAATTCTGAAATCTGTTAAATTGGATAGCAGGGAAAACAAAAAAGAAAATAAATAACCATATTGCCTTTGAGTTGATTCTGACTCCTAGCAATCTTACAGGACAGAGTAGAATCAATCACCCATAGGTGTACCAAGACTGCAAATCTTTTCAGAAGCAGACTGCCACACCTTTCTCCTGCAGAGTAGCTGGTAAATTCAAACAACTGACATTTTTAGTTAGCAACCAAGTGCTTTACCTCTGCATCACTGGAGCTTTTTGGATAGTAGGGAAAGAATCATAAATCCTAGATTAATCCCCATGGCTACAGATCATGGGAGAAGACTTCACAAATTACTGCCTTTGATCACAGACATGCAAAGGAAGGTTGAAAAGCAAAAAATACAAGGCATACTGAATATTAAAATTCCATTTCAGTGAATATTAAACAATACTTGTTAGAAACTCTAGTAGAATCCTCATTATGTCACAGACATGGGAACCTGAAAGCAAGGGATAAAAGAAGCATGTAAGTTCATATCCCACAGAAATTCAACTGTACTTATTTGGCATATAAAGAACTGAGAGATTGATACATTTTTATCCTAGTCACTAGCAAATAGTTTCTTCTGTTGAATAAGTTATTTAATTTGATGCTCTTTCCACTGTTTGTTTTTGTTAGTGTTGTTGAGTCTGGTCCAATGCATAGTGACCCTGTATAGGATTCCCAAGGAGTGACTGGTGTGTTTGAGTTTCCAACCTGCAGTTACAAGCCCAGTGATTATCCTACAGCAAAACGCTAGGACCCTTGTTTGTTTATAGTTATCTAGTCAAGATGAAAACTCTTCAGTGGAACTCTTTCTTCCCCCACACACTCTTAAACTAAACTCCCTCTTGAAACCTTGTAAGCCAGTCACTTCATGCCTTCACCTCCCCCTCATTTTAGGTAGCCAAGATCTAAATTGCTCATCCCTATCAACCCTGTGTACATAGGGGATAGATAGCATTGGTACTTGATGTGAAGACTCCTTCCCTCTCTGTCGGTACTTAGAGTTACTTAGAGTTACTACCTCCATGAGTATACATCAAGTTCATCGAATTGTAGCAATTTACCCTCATTTCCTTTATCAAAAATTGTTTTTGTTTTAATCTTCTTCTAGTCAAGTCCTGATTATCAAGCTATCGAGACTAGGTCAAATGGTTACTATCTGTAAGTTTGGGTGTTCACAATTGTTAAACATGTTTTTGTTGTTGTTAAGTGCCGTTGAGTCGGTTCCGACCCATAGCGACCCTGTACAGGGTTTCCGGGGGTGTAAATCTTTACGGGAGTAGAAAGCCTCATCTTCCTCCCGCGGAGCAGCTGGTAGTTTCAAACCGCTGACCTTAAGGTTTGCAGCCCGATTCGTAATCACTACGCTATAGAAGTTATGTAATAAAAATGGGGGAGCAGTTAATTTTACAGTCCACAAACAAAGGACCCTAGGACCATCAAGGGAGAAGAGCACAAGTGGAATGCAGGACCTTATCCAGAGAAGCAGTGACACCAGAGATGGAGGCAGATATGGGGACATGGAGAGAAGGAGCAGCTGAGGAATCTAGATTTGTGGGATGAGAAGGTCTAAGAGTTGGCAGCCAGGAGGCAGACTTGCAGAATGTGCCCTTTGGCAGTATAAATTATTATAAATGCCTAAATGTTTAAAGAAAGAAAAAAAAAAAAAAGAGCTGCAGTGAATAGAGAGAAATACTGTTATCTGACGGTACATGCTTCATTGTAGTGAAGCAAGGTGTATGATTTGTTGAATGTAAAACTGATGATCTGCCCCCATAAACTTTCATTCAATTCACAATAAAAACTTAAATATATTCATATCAATTCCTAATTTTTGTGTTCTGGTGTGGTGCTGTATGATAAACACTGGACTGCTAACCACAAGGTCTATGGTTGAAATCCACCAACCATTCTCCAGAAACCCAATCGTGTGTCGCTTTGAGTCAGAGCTGACTTGAAAGCACTGAAGAACAAAAATAACCTTAAGTAGAGTTCTGGTGTGGCATAGGAGGATAGACACTGGACTGTTAATCCCAAGGTCAATAGTTCAAACCCACCAGCCTCTCCTCAGAAACCCTATACAGAGTCACTATGAATCTTAACCAACTAGATGGCACTTAATAACATAACTACAACAACCTTAAATAGCTAAATTCAAAATTATGATTGTGGTTGTAGTTGTTGTTAAGTGCCATCTAATTAGTTATGACCTATATCAACCCTGTATAGGGTTTCCAAGGAGCGACTGGTAAGCTTGAACCACAACCTTGCAGTTCAAACCAACATTGCAGTCCAGCACATTAACCCATAGTACCACATCAGGACTCCAATTAAAAATTATAGTACAGTATATCATTTGTCTTTCCTTTCCATAATTACTTTTAACAGTAACTCAGCAATCACTCTATTTCAAATCAGAAGTCAGGTGTTGAACTTGCATACCAATTTGTTATGTTCAGGGCAGCAGACGGAATCTATTTGTCCCATGTTGATTTGCCAGATACTGTTCTTTGTAATCCATGCACTTGTGTCAGCACAGTGAACACTAGGGGCTTCCTCTTTGTCTAGTCATGCGTTAGAATAGTCATCTGACTGTGCCCAGCAGGAGTCAGAGGGTCTAAGCCCATCTTGACCAGGATTAAACAGGTAGCTGCTGGTCAACAGTAACTGCATGATAGAGTGCTGATATGGCAGTGGATTCTACTGTGTTTAAACAAAAGATAAAATTTGCAGCTTATGAAGCATTTGGAAAAGTATAAAGTATAAAACCCTCTGTTGTTGTTAAGTGCAGACCAGTTGGTTATGACTCATGGTGACCCTGTTTAAGGTTTCTAAGAAGTAGCTTATAAGTTTGAACTTGGTCATTTGAAGTCCAGGGCTGATCCTACGCACCATACCAGGAGTCCATAAAATACTTTAGGCATAAAATATAATTGCTGCCTGCCATCTGGAGTCTTGGTGTGACACTACAGGATAATGCACTGGACCTGAAGGTCTGTTGGAACTGCAACATCGGTGGGCCAAACTTATCAGCTGCTCTTCATAACCCCTATACAGGATCGCTATGAGTGGTAACTAACTTGAAGGCACTTAGCAACAAGGATCGCCACCATCTAAAGTTGTTGTTGTTGTTGTTGTTAAGTGCCATCGAGTCGGGTCCGACCCATAGCGACCCTGTACAGGGTTTCCGAGGGTGTAAATCTTTACGGGAGTAGAA